AGACGACCCCACTGTCTCAGCACTATAGACAGGGAGGGGTACCGGACTTCATCTGCTGGGTCCTGCTCTGACTCTTAAGGATGAACACAGTCAGACGCTGGGCTGTTGCTGGGTGCTTTGACAACTGAAAGAGATGTGTGGGGTTTTATGAGGATGTAAGATAAGAGTTGCAACCTCCATGTCTTCTAGAATCTTCTGTCATCTCCCCCATCACTGACTTGATTCCTCTATTTGTATTTTTTATTGTATTCTGTATATGTGCTTGTGTGCATAGATGTATGTGTATGCACATAGGTGCATGTGCATGAGACGCCTGGAGTCAACTTCCCATGTCATTCCTTGGGTGCCTTTCACTTTTTTTTTTTTTTTTTTGACATAGTATCTCACAGGGAATTAGAGTAGTCTGACCTGGACCCGCAGAGGTCTGCCTTGCTCTTCGTCCTCGGTCCTGGATTACAAGCATGCAGTGCCAACCCCACCCCCCCCCCCCCTCCCCCCCCACCCTGCACCCCCCCCCCCCCCCCCCCCCCCCCCCCCGCCCCATTCTCTAATGGCTGTTTTCTATTTTAACAGGAGAGAAATTAGCTCATTACATATAGTGTAATCTCAAGGTGCCAGGGTCCGTTTTCCTTGCTGGACTCCCACTGGTTAGTGTGAGTTTGCTTTTTATTAAGTTAGTTATCTGACAGTTTCCTGCATGTATAGAATGCATTCTGGTTACTCTCCACACACTTCTTAACTTGCCTTTTGGAGACTGAGCTCAGAGCCTCACAGCGTGTGAGTCTCCCAGCCATTGTTCCTCTGCTTTTAAATCGTGGGTGCCCTGAAGAAGATTTTCTTCCCTTTGGTCTATCATACTGTTCATGAAAAGCAGTTGATATTTCTCCGTGTTTCAGCAATCATTTGCCAACAAGGATATGAACAGAGTTCACCAGAAAGGGTTAGGTTTGTTGCCTCCCCCCTTTTCTACCCCCCCCCCCCCGCCAAGCTGTGGCTGCCTGAGCTGTTTAGTTATTCAGTGTAAATTTTCCAATATAAAAAGGGTTTGGGGAGGGGGCTGGAGAGATGGCTCAGAGGTTAAGATCCCTGACTGTTCTTCCCAAGGTCTTGAGTTCAATTCCCAGCAACCACATGGTGGCTCACAACCATCTGTAATGAGGTCTGGTGCCCTTTTCTGGCCTGCAGGTATACATGCAGACAAAATACTGTACACATAATAAATAATAAAGAAAACATTTTAAAAAATAAAATACAAGAAATAAAAAAGGGTTTGGGGAGACAGGCGAAATTACAGGAGTGTTTCATCTTAGAGGGGCCAAAGGTCAGCCCCTACACATCTCTCAAAGAGCAGCCATTGTTCAGTGCATCTCCAAAGCTTTGAGACTTGAAAATCAGCGGAAGACTCACGTTAACTAAGTGCACAGTGCTGCTGTGTAAGTCTGTGATGCCAGTGTATAGGTTCAGCCACAGCGTTATAGCCCTATGCAGGTCCTTCGAGACAAACGATGCTGGACCTCTTACCCAGGAAGTAGTAAACTCAGGCAGAATGCAGAGGAAGTGTACCATTTTGAGACAAGCTAGGACTTGTGTTTTGTTTCTTTTTATTTTTAAACTGGGCTAACTATGCACAACATTAATTTACCATTTTAAACATCTGTATACATACAATTCAGGGGCACTAACTACATGCACCGTGTTATCGAAGATTCACCACCATTTCCAAAATTTGGTCAGAATCTGAAGCAGAAATTCTGCAACCATTAAGCCGTAACTCCTCGTCCCCCCCCCCCCCCCCCCCCACAACCCCTGTGAAATCACATGATCTTGGTCTTCACAAGTGAGAGGACAAAAGGCATTCATCTTTTTTACGGCTTCTTTCAGTTAGCTGTCTTCAGGGTTCACTCGCGTAGCCTATATCTGCATTTTGTTCCTCTTTGAGTCTGAGGAATGTTCCACTGTGTGTGTCCAAACTTTGTTTCCAATTCTGGCTTTGCTGAGACCAAGCAGAGCCTATCTGCTGACTCTAAGTCTTGACTGGCAGGGGGATGGTCCTCTGTTGTTTAGATAATGATGTCGTATGCAGAAGCTCTCAGAATTGTGTCTGGGACAGAGGAGCAATGCCTCAGAGAATCCTTTGTAAGACATGGCCGTATAAAGTAGATGTGTATGTTACACGGTCAGTTGAAGTTGCTCCATGTGTCCCTTTCTGTCATTTCAAAGGGCTTCACTGGCGAAGGGCACAAGTACCCAGCACCTGTTAATCATGTCCCTTGCCCTCCACACGTCCCTGGCTCCCTTCTTATACCCTGACTTGCATTTTCTCCCAACCATTTCTGTAGCTAATGAGCACCTTCCTCCTCCTGGGTAAATGTCTGCCTCTCCAACTGTATTTGTTACTTTCCATTGCTGTGATAAAATGCTCTGACTAAAAACAAAAACAAAACAAAAACCCCAAAAAGCCAATTTAGAGAAGAAAGAGTTGATTTGGGATCACAGGAGGTACAGTACATTGTAATAGAGAAGACGTGGTGGTGGGAGCATGAGGCTGGCCTGGCAGTCATGAAGCAGAGACATCACATTTTATACACACACAGCAAGTGGCTACAAAACCTCAAAGTCTACCTCCAATGATGTGTGTCCCCAGCAAGGTTCCATTTTCTCAAAGTACTATAACCTTCCCAACAGCACTGCCAACCAGTCTCTGGGCAACATCCCCCATTCAAATCGCCACGCCAAGCAAGGGCTTTCAAATAGCCTTAATACATCATTCCCAAAGAGAGAGAAATCTCAGTGCTGTCCTTTTTAAGAATGGGTTAGTCACCTCACTATAGTTCACAAGAACCCACAGCAACTGCTTTTTAGTCTCACTTCATTTTCTAATACCAGACTGACCCAGTGAACCCACCCACTCCTCGTCTCCCTCCACTCACTAGACTTGACCTCAAGTGATTTTCTACCCCTACCCGCTAGACTTGACCTCAAGTGACTTTCTACTCACTAGACTTGACCTCAAGTGACTTTTGAAAAATTCTGAATCCTTTCCGAGTGCTGGAAGAGATCTTGCTGGCAAGGATGTTGAATCTAAAACATACTTCTAGGGCAAGTAAAAAAGATAATCTAAATTGAAAAAAAAATGGTATTAAGATATGATCTTGTTGTGTAGCACAGGCTAGCCTGCCAAGTGTTGGAGTTACAGGTGTGTACTACAGTGCCCAGCTCAAAATACTTGCAGAAACAGCAAACATCGCAGATAGACCGTGGATACTTTGAAAGAGATGGCAGTCATTCTGATGGACAAATTATGATCCGCTACATTTTAAAAGCAGTTGGCCCTCTGCCTCATTACCATAAATTACATGCAGCCCAGCATCTTCTGGGACGAACGGTAGCATGGGCAGCAGAGCCCACAGCATCCCCCAGCATGTGCTCAAGCTCAGAACTCAACCTTGCAGCATCTTTCCTAATTCGTTCGCAAAGTTCTGAGACATGCCACGTGCACCCCTCTGCATTCCCAGGGTAGACTTCTTCCTATTAACGAAGGAAGGTTTGACTTCCAGTCTTGAATTTCCTGCTGGTTTAGCCTCAGCTTGTACAGTGCCATGGGAATGGAAGTAGGGAACATTAGATGCCATTGGTTCATCCAGGTTGGGTTTCCCACTGATCTTTAACTAGCAGGGGAGGAAGTGCTATATCACTTTAAACCCATGTGCATCTAGGAGATTTTCACTGCGGAACTGTTGGTCCTAGAGTCTGGAGGAGGCAGAAGCAGCTGCCTGATCTCTGGGCTGGTTTCTGCCTTGTACGATAGACAACTTCATAGTTAGGGTAAACGATGTGTAAAAAATGCTTACAACAGCGCCTACCACACGGCAAATAGACATAGTTCCTGACTCACTATGGCTCAGCCTACGAATGTTGGACTCGACGATGGTGCAAAAGCGATGTGCGTTCAGTACTGTGAATGTTGCATCTGGATCTTTTCCCTGCATCAGGCTATGTGCTACCTTCTCCTCTAATGATGCTGAAGGTGGGAGCTGCCCGGTTATCCGTGTGATCACTGTGGCAGGTGTGCTCAACCTTTCACTGCAGAAAGGCAAGGTCGTCCTCTTCCAAGCCCATACTTAGAAACTTGCAACTTAGTTATAAAATAAATCTCAGGGCGTTAAGTTTACCGTTTCGTCTTGAGCTCACACCTGTAGCACTGTGTTGCAAAACTCTGGTACTCATATTGAATGCATTTGGAGGTAACAGCATCTTCAGATGCAATGGGTATATCAGAGAATAACCTTATCCTAAGAATAGGAGAGTCTACCTGTGTTCGCCAAACACGTCCATTAAAAAAGGACATCTTCCTGTCCAGCATCCAGCATAAGGTGGGGAAGGAAAGCCCCAGGCTGGACAGCCCTGCTAAAGACCAAGAGTGCTGTTTGCTGACAGAATCAACCTTACAGAGCCGCCACATGTGACCTGGGACCATTGGCTTGGCTGTTTTATACAGCAGTACCCTAGTGTCTCTCAGTCTTTTTCTTTCTCTATTCTCTTGTTCTCCTCCTCCCTCTCTCTCCCTCTGTCTCTCTCTCCTTTCCCTTTCCCCTTTCTCTTTATGTCTCTGTCTGTCTGTCTGTCTGTCTGTCTGTCTGTCTGTGTATATGTGTCTGTGTGTGTGTGTGTGATGTAGTCCAGGCTAGCCTCAAGCTTGCTAGGTAGCTGAGGATGATCTTGAACTCCTGATCCTCATACCTCCACTTCCTGTGTGGTTGCAGCCATTCCCCATCACAACCAATTTTACCCTGCACCAAGAGTTAGTGCCAGGCAAGAACTCTACCAACTGAACCACGTCTAACCCCCTCTTTGGATTTCACAATAGGCATTTGTGTTTATGGAGTGTGCCTGCGTGTTCAGATATTACACTGGGAACCTTGCTAGGAGCCTAAGTGGATGGCGTGCTTTAGTGAACGTCTCTCGTGACCTAATCTTTTCCCTTTGTCTTCTTCTTCCAGCCCAAGCTTTTGGCCAAGGAGCTTCTTGACCTCGTGGCGTCTCATTTTAACCTGAAGGAAAAGGAATACTTTGGAATAGCATTCACCGACGAGACGTAAGTGCTGTCCAGAGCCCACACAAAAGAGCAGGATGGGAAACTGCCCTCCCTCAGCTATGACAGCAAAATCAGCTGCAGGTCACTCGGGTCCCATGGGGGCTAGGGGTTAGTCCAAGTTCACCATCTGAATTTCAAAAGCCGGTGATCATGCCTGGAGCAGCCAAAGGATATAATTAGACAGATGCTAATATTATGAAATTATTAGGTCAGCGTTCTTATAATCAAGTAGATTCGTGTTCAGACTGAAATGTTTATTTTTTTTAAGTAGATCTATGTGGGTTTGGTTTTCATTAAGGTTAAATGAAAACTTCTGGAAAGTAAATGTTTCTCTCCAATATTGGAGAAACAATAACAGGAAATGGAGTTGATGATAAATTCAGGGTGAAAAATGATAGCTGGGCAGTTTCACATTCTAAGCTGAAACAGAGAATACAAAATCAAAGTTCATATCCCCCATTTGATGTAAAGTTTGCTTTCAGCAGTTTGGGTCATGTTTTATAATAAAAGAAGGGATAGGCTCTTTGAATTATTTTCTTTCCTCTTAGTATATTGTTGCCAAAAGACTTCGGTGAAGATCAGTCCGTGCTTAGATAAGAATAAGCTAAGGCCTGGGGATGAAGTCGAGAGGTGAAGCACTTTCCTGGACGTGCGCAGCCCTTGGTTCTGCTGTAACAGGGGTGTCTGTGATTGCCTACGGATGCCGACAGTTCCGTGACACAAACAATTGAAATGAGTGGGACCAGGAAAGACAGATCAAATCATAGAGAAAGGGAAAGCAACAGCTGTGTGCATTCAGGTCGGGAGAAGCCCAAGGCTGGAGGTCTATTAAACAGAGGCCAGTTCCTGGGGCCCTCCTTTCCCCCACCATTGGACTTGTCTAGATACCCTCCCCCATGTCTTCCCACAGTTTCTCCTCTGAATGTTCTCTGAGAACAAGAAGTAGCTGTCTCAGAGAGCCTGCCCTCACTTTCCCTGTCTGCTCATGTTCCTCAAACTCTGCTTCTCTATCCCCTGCACCAGGAAACAAAACAAAATAATGACCTACTTTTAACAAATGTTCCCTAAGAGGTCTCCTCTGTGTGTGTATTCATGTCCACACACCCCTCCAGGTCTTTGGAATATAGATACGTTTTCCTAAAATGCTCAAAAGTCAGGGTGAGGTCAGTGGCTGGGTAGGACAGCAGAGTTCAACCCAAACCCCAGGAGTGAGGTGGGACTGTCAAGGTAGGATGGGTTCTAAAGCAAGACTAGACAACTTCTGTGCTGGTCAGTGGGAGAGTGAACATATGTATCTGTATATGACTGTGGTTGGACTTGGAAATCAATGAGTTGTCAAGGTGTCCACACACAAGCAGGAGGGCCTAACTTCAATCTACAGAACTTGGGCTTAGGGGACACATCTGTAACCCCAGCATGGGGAAGGTGCAGATGTTACAGATGCTCTCGGCCAAAAATCAGCTGTGCACTCAGACAAGAGATCTCTTCTTTGTTTAGGAAGCAGGATTCCAGGATAATGCTTTGGAAAAGCCTAGCAGCCTCCACAGTGTCCTACTGCTTTTGTAGGAATAGCATGGCCACCTGAGGATGGTCTTCAGTCTCATACCTGCCAAAAGGAACTTCTGTCACAATTAGCAAGCTCACAGCAACAAAAATGCAGGTGTGAGCATTTTATAGATAGAAGTTTTGCACACAAACATTTGAAATGACAATTTAAAAATAGCCTTTCTTGCTAGGTATACTGTGCATGCCTTTAATCCCAGCACTCGGGAGACAGAGACAGGCGGATCTCTGAGTTCCAAGCCAGTCAGTGCTACCTAGAGAGACCCTGTCTCAAAAACAGAAAACCTAACAACTAACATCCGCCTTAGCAAACAGGAGCCACAGCATAGCCTTTGGCCAGATAACTGTGCCGATCACTCCTTAAGGTCCTCTAGCAGGTGTTTGCCTTCCTTATGATAAAGAATATGGACAGTTGGCAGAAACCAACACACTTAAATAAAATTTTAACTCATTTTACTTCTGCACAATCCTATAGTTTTTAAGCAAAGACTTCTATTAGGCCGTCATAAAATAAAGTAATAATTTGATTTTGTTAGCTGTATATACAAGCACACAAAATATATATTCATATAATCTCTTCTTCAAAGCCAAACTGACCCTTACTGCCAGGTAGATTCACTGTCCTGCCAGCCTACACATCCTACACAGCAGCGAGAGATGCCGTCTCGAGAGCTATGGGGGGAGGCTGGAGAGATAGCTCAGCAGTTAAGAGTACATGTTGTTCTTCCAGAGGACCTGAGCTTGGCTCTCAGTACCCACAGAGGGTGGCTGACAGTCACCTGTAACTCCAGCTCCGGGCGTTCTGACCAATACAGACATCCACAGACATACGCACATGAAAATAATAAATCGATAAAACTTTCCGAAAGAAAGGGAGAAGTGAACAGTAACGGAGTAAGAAAACACACGGCTATTCTCTGATCTCACACATGCACACACGCAGCACACCTGTGCACACGCACACACATGCACCCCCCACACACATGACGTTCGGGGCGGGGGGGGTGTACAGAAGCAGTGGAAAGGGTAAAGCATCAGCTTCCCCGCATGGGAATGAGGTCATCTCTGGGAATGGAGCCCACAGGGCACTGAGGTGCGAGGCAGGCCGGCCGGCCTTCTCTGGCCTAGAATCACCTCCACCAGCCGGTTGGGAGGTGCAGGCAGGAAAGCCTCTGGCAGGTAATAAAGAAGAATCGCTTCAACAACTGCACATCTAGAAAAACTGACGTTCACAAACACAGACGCTCTCTACCCTCTCTGTTGAGAAGCCCCATTCACCCCCTAATTGCTCTCCGTGCTGTCCCCCACTGATTAGAAGGAAACCGTAAGCCTCAATTAATCATAGTCGCATTGTTCCCATTTCCCAAGTAAGTTTACTCAATTCAAAGAGTCCGTTGAACTCTGGCCGGTCCCAATTAGACCTCCCTTCAGAGTCAACAAGAGTCAAAGAATGAACATTTTATCTTAGACCAGAGAGGAAGAAGTTGTCTGTGTGTTGAGGGTTACAGACCACAGCCCTGATGGCCCTAGCCAAGAGCCATGATCGGAAGGGTGAAAGGAAGGAAAGCCAGTCTTTCCCTGAGGGAAGAGGAGGACGTGAAAGCCACACATCAAAGGCAGGAGGTGCACACCCTTGAGTCTAATGGGCCTTCCTATAGGCCTATGCAGTTAGGAGCTGAGCTCTCCTGATTCTCTGGATTATCTGATTATCTGGGCCTCTGTGGTAATCAGAACATTTCTCCTTTTCCTTTTGAGAAAGGGAAGAACAAAGGAGGTTGCCCTTTGGACCTTGTGCCTGGAGGTGTGACCTGCTCTGGGGTTGGTGATTCCTATGTCCAAAAGTATACCAGTTTTTCCTCTGCCTCTGCATGCCAAGTAACACTAACTTGGCATCTCCCACCGTGTGTGTGTGTGTGTGTGTGTGTGTGTATGTGAGAAAGTGTGTGCATGTGTGTGTGTGTTGCTGGAAACCAAACTCAGGACCTCGTGCACAAGTACCATAACAGCTGAGCTACATCCTCATCTCAACATGAAATTTTTTAATAACATATTCACATCGGACATATGTGCCCCCAGGGTGTTTGTACATATGTGAGTGTGCACATACTGTACTTTGTTTTGCACACACACATACACAAAGCTACAGTAGTATTGTCATTGGTCTGTGGCAGCTTGTGGTAAAATATGTGAATCTGCCTATTACCTAACTCAATTCCAGCAAGATTCAGACCTGCAAAGTGGGTGCAAGCTGCAAGCCATTCTGTGTTAGGTGTCACTTGGTGTGGAGAGACAGGAGAAGCTGAGTTAGTGCTTCAGGGCAAAGGAATCACCAGCCCAGAGCAGATCATATCCCCATGCATAAGTTCAAGGGGCATCACTGACCCTCCCTGGAGCAGCGGGGGTGTCTAGTAGAATATATGATTCCTAGGGAGAAGTTGTCTGCCTTCCTTCAATGTTAATTCTGACATCTTGTGGGGCCTAGATGGAACTCTGAGGAAAAGAAGGGAGAGAGGGAAGGAGGGAGGGAGGGAGGGAGGGAGGGAGGGAGGGAGGGAGGGAGGAAATAAGTAAGTAAATAAATAAATGCAGGCAGGAAACGGGAAGTTTCCCTAGCCTTCTGCCCCCACATCATTGGTATTTATTGACAAAGTCTGAGTCAACAATATAAAACTTATGCCCACGAACACTGAATGTTGCTGGCAACCTGTTTTTACAGCATTGATATTTTATTTGAAGCCTTTTATTTGGAAATAATTATAAAGAGTCACAAAGATAGAACAGACTACCTTCACCTTCCATGCAGCTTTGCCCCACGTCAGCGTCTTGGGAATCGACGATGCCACACCACTGCTAGATGAACTGAGCCATGGGGGCTGCTCGAATATCACCGGGTTGCCTACGAGGTTTTTTCCCCGGCTCTAGAATTCAATTGCACTTAGTAACTTTTGATTTGCACCAACTCTGTCCAAATAAAGAGAGCTGCAGGTGGTGTTCGGCTTTCAGTGTTCCCGGTTGTAATGAACTTGGCAAGTGAGGGCAGTTTGGACAGCTTTGGACTTTCTGAAGCAAAGGCCCTGGGAGAGATTTGATCTTTAAATAGTGCTGTTACTATTCTCCTTAACGTAGTTCACAATATAGAAACAGAAGAGTCATTGCCAAATTCCTTTTACGAAGCTACAGTTACCCTGATACCAAAATAACACAAAGAACCAACCAAGAAAGAGAATTACAGGCCTATCTCACTCATGAATATCGACGCAAAAATTCTCAATAAAATACTGGCAAACCGAATTCAAGAACACATTAGAAAAATTATCCATTGTGATCAAGTAGGCTTCATCCCAGAGATGCAGGGCTGGTTCAACATACGCAAATCTATCAGTAATCCACTATATAAATAAACTGAAAGAAAAAACCATATGATCATTTCATTAGAT